GCCCCCTATAGCAAAAACCTCCCAAAAAAAAAAAAAAAAAAAAAACACAGTGGGCATGTGTGCTTGTGTGCCCAAAATTTTGACAGGAAGGAAGAATGGAGGAAAAAGGATTGAAGCATAACTGTGTCACATTAAGGGGTGTTTTCTCCCTCTCTCTGGTGAATGGGGGTGCCCTCTGGCAACAAGAAAAGGAATATAATACACTGTTACTAACAAGAATCACTATGTTACACGATGTATGTCCTAACTTAGGACTCTGTCTAACTGAAATTTCATATCCTTAATCAACATTTCCCCATCCCACTCCCAACCCTATCCCCAGTAGGTACTCTTCTGCTCTTACTTTTGTGTGCTTATCATTTAGGAATTTTAAAATTTTGCATCTATGACCAATCACAGCAGGGAACATTTTACAAAAGCTTTTGTATTTGTGAATTTTTCTGCAGAGGATTCGTAGCATCTTTCAGCTTTTTTCAAATGGAGTCTTGACCTAAAAAATTAAGAATAAAATGTCTACAAGGTGAAATACTTTATAGAAGTAAGAATCTTCTAATACAGGACTTTATAGATTTCTGATTTGCAACATAGGCTACCTATAAACTTAAAATCTATTCTATTTCTTTTTTTAAGAAAAGAGTTTTTTTTTAGTATAGGACACATGCACTCACTGGAGAGAGGGAGAGAGACAGAGAGACAGAGAGACAGAAAGTGAGAAATCACCCCCTAGGGGCGATTTGGCCACACCGCAATTCCTTTTCTGGTCTCCTCTCAGGATCTTGGGCACACAAGCACATGTGCCTGGCATTAAATTTTTTTTTTTTGAGAATTATTTTGTTTAACTTTATTTATTTGTTTGTTTGTTTATTTATTTAAATTTGACCAGAGAGGGACAGAAAGAGAGAGAGAAAGTGCGAAAGCAAACCGCCAGGTCCAGGACGCTAACCATGGTCAGCCTTTTGGGATTCCAGCACCCTTAACCACCACGCTACTTGCCGGCCCAACATACGCCTGGTGTTAGTTTTAAGCTCTGGGTTCCGGACTCCAACTGTGGTTGACTATGTGGGAGTCCAACTACATAACCATTATGCCATATGCCATCTGCTGGTACCACTTTTCTATTTATTTTTCTGAGACTAGAGTCACTTCTCCTTTTTTTCCCCAAATGATTTCTCCAGCCATATCATAAACAGAGTGTTAAAGAGAATCTTAATTAGGACCAGAAGATGGCATAATGGTTACGTCACTGAACTCACACATAGTCAACCGTGGTTCAAGTCCCGGGTCTGGTAGCTTAAAACTCCCATCAGGTGTTTGTAGTTTAAAACTCACATCAGGTGTTTGTGCGTGCAAGCCCAAAATCCCAAGAAGAGAATGGAGGGAAAGGGACTGAGGCATGGCCATTCCCCCGAGGGGTGATTTCTTGCTTTCTGTCTCTCTGTCTCTTTTTGGTGAGTGCACCTGCCCTATTGCAAAAAAATCTCTCTAAAATAAAATTTTAAAAAAAGAAAAAAGAATCTTAATCATTGCAAAAATTGGAAATAACTCAAAAGTCCAGTAATAAGCAAATGATTAGATAAATGATGAGTAAATTACAAGAGAATACAATGCAGTTATCCAAAAATATTAGCTGTCATTGTGCTAATACAAAAAGATTTCCAAGGGAGACTCTTAACAGAAAAATAAACAACACACAAAGCTGTATATAGCAGGCTGTCTTTTATGTTAAAATGGAAAAATAAGAGTGTGTTTATATTTGTATTTGCATGCTAATTCAATTACACTTTGTAAAAGCACACAAGGGAAGACCATTAAGTGGGTTTTCCTATGGAAGTGGAAAATGAATAGATGGGAGATGCTTTCCTGTATAACTTTTTCTTTCCTTCTTTCTTTTTATTTCTTTTTAGTTTTTGCTGTAGGGTGCATATGCTAGTGCATACATGAGAGAGAGAACAATCACCTGGGTGGATGGTGGCTGGCCACCCCACAATTCCTTCTCCTCTGTTCTACCTTTAGGAATGTTGGGCATTTGCATTCATGCCTCCAGCATGGTTTTCAAGCTGTGGGATCCCGTACTTGAACCCCACAGCCAGTCATGTGGGATCTAGCTGCCTTAACCATCATGCCACCTGTCTGACCCCCATAATTTTTCTTTCTATTCTTTTTTATCTTAATTTTTGGAACATATTGTATTATCTATTCTAAAAATTAAATGTAAAATGATCATAACAAAATTAAACATCTTTGGGAACTTGACAGTGGCACAGTGGTAAAACATGAGACCGTGAGGCTGACCCCTATGAGAGAATTCTGGTTTGTAACTGGAGACCTCTAGATCCCATTTGCCCACAATTTGGAGCTAAGTGAGACTACAGGTGGAGTGTGGCATCAAGACCCTGTGATGAATGCTCTCGCTCTCTTTCGCTCTTTCTCTCTCACTCACTCATGGAAGAAGTAAATAAGCTTAAAAAATGTTGTTTTTAAGATGGAAGCTTTAGTTCATGGAAATATACATATGACAAGCCAACGACTGTGACACAGTATACAGTTTTGTAGATACAGCTCCCAGTCTATGCTAGCTATTTTTGTTAGGGCTATGTCCAGTATAAAGTAGCCATTTTAAATAAATAATATATTGAAAGTAAACACACTTCTAAAATGAAACTGTTTCTAAAATATTCATAAATAACCAATAACAAATGTAGACTTGAAAGGCAAGATTGTTGCTTATCTAAAAGATAGTTCAGATATTTGAGATAGTCTCTTTCCATACTACCCCAAAACCAACAGACAAGTTTTCTTTATGGACATAATTGAAACAATTAAGAACATAAACCTTTGTGGGACAAATCATTACTCAAACCATAGCATTCCACTGCTGGCCCCCAAGGTTTTTCATATAAAAAGTATAAATATCCTAATCCAATACTCCCAAAAGACTTAACTTAATTCTAGTACTACACCAAAACTCCAAGACCTAAATCTCATCTGAGGTAAAGTCCTTCAAGCTGTGAGCCTGTAAAATGGAGAAGAAATGTCAGCAACTTCCCAGCTATGGAGGAGCAGACAGATCAGGGCACTTATAATCAGTGAGGCCCTGTGTGATAGCCCAGGCTACATGTCCATGAAGCTAGCCTTGGGTAGATCCTAAATTCGATGAATGCCCACATGAATCAGCTGCGATCAAATGCATATCCATTTCTGGATGTTAACATTATTTACCTCAATCTCTGCTATTTTTTTTTTAAGACAAATTTTTGCTATAGGGTGCATGTGCTCTCCAGAGAGACAGAAAAGACAGAGAGAAAGAAAGTGAGAAATTAACCCCTTCCCCAGGAGAGATGGCCATGTGGCAATCAATCTCTTCTCCTCCATTCTCCTCTCAGAATCTTGGGCATGCATGCACATGCACCTGGCATGAATTTTAGGCAGCTGGGTTCGGGACATGAACCATGGTCGAATATGTGGGAGTCCAGTGACATAACCATTACACTATCTGTTGGTCCCTCTACTGTTCTTTTAGGCATAGAGTCCAACATTCAATCCCTATTAAAAGAGAACTCAGAGGGGAGATAAAATAGTCAAAATAACCAGACATACTGATGGTGCATGTGGTGAAACTATTAGAGACTTTAATTATAATTAATATGTTAAAGAACCTAGTTTAAAAATGTGAACACTTGCTGGCATGGTGATTAAGATGCTGGAATCCCACATGACTGATTGTGGTTTGAGTCCTAGACCTGGTGGCTTGAAAATCATCCAGGGCACGTGTGTGTGTGTGCGTGCAAAATCCCAGGAGGAGAAGGGACTAGAGTGTGACCATCCCTCTTTGGGGGAATGATTTCTCACTTTACCTATCACAGTCTCTCTCTCTGGTGAGTGCACTCATCCTATGGCAAAAACCTATAAAAGACAACATGAATGATGGAGAACTTGATCAAAGAGGTGGAAACTCTAAAAAACAGTTCAATGAAGTGCTAGAAATGGAAACCATTACCATTGCACTACTGTCTAGCGCTGGTCATCAATTAATATCTAACCTTGAGACATCTCTAAGGAAGGGAGCTATTGGAAAAACAGAAGGAAAAGGACTGTGAACCCCAAAGATGTTAGTGGAGCAAAGGTGCCTTCTGACTATTCCAAGCAGAGCAAGCAGAGCAGACCTAGGGTGACAAACCTGTTCTAGTCCTGATGTCGAATTTCTGACTCTAAACCTCCAGTTTGCCAGGTTGCCCGAGTGGAATCTTGTCCACTCCATGTATTTTTCTCTATACTTTAGCAATGTTCTAGGCTCATTAGGAACTCAGCCAGAGTTCAGTTTAAAAGCCTCCCTTAGGATTCTACTCCCCTCTTCCTTGGTACCCCGTTTTAGAGCTCCAGTATCCAGGAACCCGGGGAGATAGAATGGTGGTGGTTGTGCTTGGTCACATCTTGAAGGTGGGTGTCATTTCTGTTTTTGCACCTGATGTTTTTAGGCGCTGAGGATTTCCGATGGCAGGGCCCAGCAGCTAGCAACCTGCAGATCTGTGGATGCTCATGTAGTTACGCCTGAAGTTCTGGCACCGACTTGTTTTTCCTGCTTCCAGGCCTGGAGCTACTGCACTCCCAACACAGCTACTCTCCTAGGTTCTGGGAAACCTTTATCCAAAGGCATACTGTACATCGGCACCTACCCTTCCTCCACAAAGCATGAAGCAGTGAAAAGGTCGAAGCTTTAGCGCAGACGTCACAATCCCTCTTTTCTCTTCTTCACTACAAGGACAGTGCAAGGTGAGAGTGGGAAGGAAACCCGTTCTCCTGGGTGTCTCGTATTCCTCCACCTATTTGGTCTCACACCCACGCAAATGTTCTTGGAATCCAGGAGTTCAGTATCTATGACTTTGTTTTCACAAATTTATGTGTGGGAGGCTGCAAGCGGAATGAGTATATAGTTTGGTGCTTTAATTCCTTTCTTTTTTGAAAAATCTACAGGGTACATGTGCTTGGTAGAGACGATAGAGAGAGAGAGAGAGAGAGAGAGAGAGAGAGAGAGAGAGAAAGTACTCCTCGTGGGGAATGGTCATGCCACAATCCCTTCTTCATTTCTCCCTTCTTTCAGGATTTTATGCACACACACACACACACACACACCTGGGACATATTTCAAGCTGCCAGGTCCAGGACTCGAACCACAGTTGGTCATGTGGGATCCAGCTTACATAACCACAGGCTGACCTAGTGTCTTAATTTCTCTCTGCTGAAACACGGTCTTTAAAGCGTCATTCCATTACACCAGCTCTGGACCCTTTCTGTAAGGTGTTCCGTAGGGGCGGTGTTAAATATTTGCAAAATGCGCACATGGAGAACCTAGAGTCCAGAGGTGCTGACAGATGGTTGCTGTTTATTTATTGTAGAGATTTTTGCTATAGAGCATGTTTGCTTGCTGGCATGCATGCACATGGACCCAGTGTGAGTTTTAAGCCACTGAGTCTGGGACTTGAACCGTGGTCAACTATGTCAGAGTCCAGTGACCTAACCATTATGCCATCTGCTGGTCCTACAGATGGTGTTTTAATACTCTCATTGAGACGTAGTTCTGCTCAGCTGAGTTCACCACTGGAAATCAGATTTTGCTCCAGCAAATTTGATGAACCTTAAGAACAGGACCCAGGACTCTAGGTGCATTTTTGGAGGAGTCAGGCTGGAGGGAGAAGAATAGGGAAGAATACAGAAGACAGCCTGGTGACACAAAGACTGATCCATGGGTCTGGACCCTTGGCCATATCTCAGAATCTCATAGAAAAGCTATAGGTGTAAGCTGAGGATGCAGGTTGCATAAAAGCTTCCAGGAGACTCAAGGGCACATGTGATTTGTTTTAGTCCCTATGTTACAAAATATGATACAAAGTAGGGAACAGGGGGCCTGTTCTGCTTCTATGGGTGGAGTGCAGAAAGGCTAAGTCACACACTGGGAATTCTGTGGAATCCAGCAAAGACAGCCTGGCCAACAAGAGCCTGGAGACTCCTCCAGAATATCTGAATGAGACTGTGTGTGTGTGTGTGTGTGTGTGTGTGTGTGTGTGTGTGTAGTAAGGCTGACATTCTGTTGGCCCCAACTCTACTTTCTATCGTCTGAATTGATGCCTTTAGATACCACATATAAGTGGAATCATACTGTACTTACCTTTTTGTGACTGGCATATTTCTCTTAGCATAGCATCCTCAAGGCTCATCCACATCATAGATGTGTCAGAATTTCCTCCCTTTCAAAGATAATATTCATTGTATAAATAACATATTTTGTTTATTCTTGTATCTGTTGATGGGACACTTGGGTTGCTTTCTCCTTTTGGCTATTGGGAATAATACTGCATTACACACAGGTGTACAAGTCTCTAAGACCTTTCTTTCATTTCTTTTGAATACATACACAGAAGTGGAATTACTTGGTCATATGGTAAGCGGAATTAACTGGTCATATGCTTAATTTTTAAAAAATGCTATCCTGTTCCCCACAGTGATTGTACCATTCAACAATGGCATTAAAAGTGCACAAGGGTGGGCCCGCAGGTTATGGTGCTAGATCCCACATGGCTGACCAGGTGTTTCGAGTACTGGACCCGGAGGTTTGAAAATCATCCTGGGCACTCAATCCCTTCTCCTTCATTTCTCCCTCTTTTTGTGATTTTGGGCACATACGCACATGAACCTGGCATGTATTTCAAGCCACCCGTTCTGGGATTCGACCTATATGGTCAGCCATATGGGATCCAGCCACCTTAACCACCAGCCAGTGGTGGCCTGGGTAGGGTGTTTTGCCTTTGGTTCCAGGGGAGGGCAGAATAGAATGGTCTCCATGTAATTTATTCAGCTCTCAGCAATGTCAGCTGTATCTGTGAGTGCTTCAGTGTCCTACACAACGGGTGTTTGTGGAAGCAGTAGCACAGCTTTGCTGGACGTGGGGCTGTGAGGTGTGCCAGCCCTCAGTCCCTGGGAGCACGCACCAAGTGTAGTACATCCACCAGTCACAGCGACAATATCACTAGAGAGTATGGCTGCTGGATGGGCCAGTCCTCAGACACTACAAAGTGCAAACAAGTGCAACAGATTCACTACTTGCTGGGAGACTTCATTATTTTTTCCTTACCTTTTTTCTCTTTGAGAGGTTTTTGTCTTAGGGTGCATGTGCTTGCTGAAGAGATAGAGAGGGACAGATACAGTGAGAGAGAAAGTGAGAAATCGCCCCCCCCAGGGGGGATGGCCACACCACAATCCCTTCTCCTCCCTCCTCCTCTCGGGATATCAGGCATGCACACGCACTCACCTGGTGTTAGTTTTTTTGTTTGTTTGTTTGTTTTTGTTATAGGGCGTGTGTGCTCGCCCGAAAGACAGAGAGAGACAGAGAGCTAGAAAGCGAGAAATCACCCCCCCCCCAGGGGTGATGGCCACGCTGCAATCCCTTCTCCTCCATTTTCCTCTTGGGATCTTGGGCACGCATGCACATTTGCCCGGCATGAGTTTAAGCTGCCAGGTACAGGACTCGAACTGCGGTCGACTACGTGGGAGTCCAGCGACATAGCCATTATGCTAACTGCTGGTCCCACCTGGTGTTAGTTTAAAAGCTGCCAGGCCCACATGGCTGACCAAGTGTTTCGAGTACTGGACCCAGAGGTTTGAAAATCATTCTGGGCACTCAATCCCTTTTCCTTCCTTTCTCCCTCTTGAACCAGTGACTTAACCATTAAGCCATCTGCTGGTCTCTACTTAAAACAATTTTTTAAAAGTATTTTTAAAATAGAGATTTTGCTATAGGATGCATGGGCTCACTAGAGAGACAGAGACTGAAAGTGAAGAATCACACCCCAGGGGGGATGGCCATGTCACAGTCCCTTCTCTTCCATTCTCCTCTAGGGATTTTGGGCATGCTTGCAAACATAGTGTGAGCTTTAAGCCACCAGGTCTGGTACTCAAATCGTGGTTGAGTATGTGGGAGCCCCAGCATTTTTGTTCTTTATAGTAAGGATATAGTATAACTTAGTCTTGCTTCCTAAAAACCAATCTTTCCACCTTTGTCTTTTTATTTTATCTTATTTATTTTTTTAAATTTAATTTATTATTATTATTTTTGTCATTAGTGTTGGGAATGCTTTTTTTTTTTTGGGGGGGTATTTTTTTTTTTTTTTT